AACTTCATGATTAAGGTGCTTGCCAAGGATTTTTTTGAAGTTTCAAACTGATCATCAATAGCCTTAATATACTCCTGAACTTTGGTAATTTTATCAATCGTGCCACGAATATCACTCGAAAGTCAAGACTTAATGAACAAGATGCATAAACAGTTTGATCGTTCCCATCTAGCCCAAAGTTCTTTGGCTTCTGGAGTGCTTGCCACGGTGATAGCCGGGGACTCTAGATAGTTGATAGCATAGTCCATTTCGAGCCAGCCAAAATAGATGAGGAGGGCATCTTTCCATCCTTTATGATTGTTTGGAGTAAGCGTTGGAACATCGATGTTTATGACAGTTGGGCTAGTTGCTGGTAAAAAATTATGAGTTAGTTTTTATTTTCGAGGCACAAAAGAACTAAAGTGCATATTTTACCAATGTAAATTTATGCAAAAAATAAATTCAAATGCCATAAAAATTGCCTGTGGACTAAATTTTTACGTATAATGAATCTACCAAAAACTGAATGGTGAAAAACAAAATGGGTACGTAGAATTAATTACAAGGGTATTGCCAACTCTTTATGTGAGTTAATCTAAAGAAAATTTAAGCAATTAAAGATGTTATGGATACTCTTTAATTACAAAATTGTAATCACTTGGAAAAGGGGATTTTAAAGCCAAACAAACAGATTAAACCAACATACGATAGACAATCATTAGGTATATTTCCAAGAAAGTTGGTCGAGGCAAAGCCCAGTTAAATATCAACTCATTAGATAGAGTAGCGTTGCAAGGGGACTAGTAGCAACATGACGTTTAAACCAGGACCATATAACTAGTATTCCTCCCCAAGAAACTTCACTAAGTCATGTGTTCTCATATTTGAAGTAAATCCGGCGAATCGAAGAACCAAAAAAACGACGAACCATAGTTGGAAAGCAGTATGAACAATATGCAGTATGTAAAATCTAATTGCAAAAAAAAATGATTCTTAATTCTTAATGCAGAAAAAAAAATTTCCAGCAGTCTAGACAAATATGATTGCATTAAATTACACACAAATTCTAAATTATACAACCATGTATATCATATGTAAAAGACTGTAGATTATGCAATAAAAAAAAAAACTAGGCAGAGATTAAATTGACTTTGATACCAAATGTAAGCATTTAATCCATGTTATGCATATAATACGTGGCAATAAAGAATAAACCCACTAATCTCTAGTTTGAGTTCTTAATTGCCTGAATCCGTTGTCGGTTGAACAGGAGTTCCTCGGGCTGCTGTGAAATCACCGTAAACCAAAGAAGCGTTTCTCTCACTTCTCTCAGCTACTCTAGATGGTGTATAAGTTGTCAACTGAGCAGTGAGAGAACTTAGGAGTCTAATACCTACATCCCATTAATGTAGGTAACCAATTACCTAATGATGACCAAGTTCTAATACTTAGTCAGCCTAAATAGTTTGCACCACATAAATTACTTATTATTATTATTATCATTATTATTATCATTATCATTATCATAATAATAATAATAATAATAATAATAATAATAATAATAATAATAATAATAATAATAATAATAATGATTAATGGAAAAGTTACATTGATGTCTTTGTTGGCTGGTTTTGACGTCGCGGATTTCTTCCTTGCATGTGAGCATGATCAAATTCTTGAGAATATTATTGATGATAGATCATACAGAGAACAGAGAAATTGCAGGCTTGCAGCCAATGGTGAAATTGGAAGGGAAGATATTGTTGATGTTTTATTGAGATTGAAAGAGCGTGGGGAGCTTCAATTTCCACTCACGCATGACAACATCAAAGCAGTTATTATTGCAAGTCTTTTACTTATTTCATCAGTCCCATTTTGTGTATCTTATTTACTATTTATTGGTCAAATCAATTCTTTCTTTATTTGCTTATTTTCTTTAGTAATTTTAATTAATTTTTAATTTAAATTTTTTTTGTGTTTAATAGTACTTTTAATATAGTTTCTAAATATATAAATTTTATATACTAATACTAAACTTAATATTATGAAAAATGAAATTGAAAATAACTTTAGTCAAACTTTAACCTAACTAGAGAAACAAAATGTGATTTGTTCTTTTTTTTTTTTTTTTTTTTGAAAGCAAAGCAACCGTGTATTATTGAAGCAAAGCAGAAATATAGTCAAGATGGATAGCGTCTCGGGACATAGAGCAAGCCTGAGTGAAGGCCGCAGAAACAAGTGTATGAGCAGATAAATTAACCGATCTAGGAACTAAAGAAACAAAGCAAGAATTAAGAGTAGACATAGCCTTTCTACAGTCTTCAACAACCAAACCAACAAAGGGAAAGATAGCAATTTGCGTAGATGATAGGCAGGTAAGTAGCTCGGAACAGTTAGTGATGATCTCAACATATAGTATACCCCGATCTTAGTCAGGATAGCGCCTCCTTGCAAGCCAAACCTTCTGCCATGAGTGGTAAAAAGCATCCCAGAAGTACACCGTTGGCCGCTGCCGCGTAACCTCCGCCCGGCATGAACATGACAACGCCGAACGTTTCTTCTCCAGTCGATGGGCGGTACCCAGCGTCGACGAAGCACCTGGGCAGAACTAGCCTCGGTATAGCTGGAATGGCCGTTGGAGCTGCTGTCGCCTCAGCTCGCCGCGCTGATGGACTTGGTTCCACGCCATCAAGGCCGACTTCGCCACCTACCAAACTCTCTTCGAAAATGGCAGTGACCCTTCCCAGACGGCAGTGTTCCTTGCCCTCCACACGTGATAAAGAGTTGCTACAACCAAGCCAACATTATCTTCATTCATACAATTCATCATGTTCTTAAACCACACAGTGAATGTGTTGCCGATAATGTTAGAGATAGGAATAGGGGATTCATTCCAAACAAGTTGAGTAAATTCACAGAGAAGGAGGGCATGCATAGTATTCTCATGATTAAGATCACACATAGAACACAAAGAATCCACCTCCACTCTCTTTAAAATCAGATTTGAAGTAGTGGGAAGGATATCATTGAGGGCTTTTCACAAGAAAGCCTTCCATTTGGGAGGGACTTTAATCTTCCAAAAAGGAATCCATTTATCAAAATCATCAGGTTGGGTCTCAAACTCGCCAATTATGCGCTTATAGTCATTTTTCACCAAATAACTTCCCCTCGGGTGTCCCTGCCAAAACCAAGAGTCCTCATACCCTGGACTGGCTGGGATCCTAAAGATACGGACCACGTCCCTGGGAATAAAAGTGTCAGACAAGATAGAGTGATCCCATGTATTCGTGTCCAAGTCAATTAAACCTGCAACCAGAGAACCAACTCATGGGGCATAGTGGTTTGAACCATAGGAGAAGGGTCATCAGGAGCCAGGGATGATCCTAAATAAAAGTAGATTTACCATTACCAATTCTACACCTCACCCCCTACAAAACAAATCATGTGCAGCCATAATATTACGCCAACAAAAACTTGAGTTGTTACCCACGGTAGCATTAATAAAAAAGGACTTAAGAAAATACATTGCCTTATAAATTCTTGCTACTAAGAACTCTGGTTCAGTTAGAAAACACCATATTTGTTTGCCTAACATAGCAAGGTGGAAAGTACGCAGATCCTTAAAATTATTATTATTATTATTATTATTATTATTATTATTATTATTATTATTATTATTAGGGAATGTGAATTTGGGGCGTCAGAATGATGTAAAGAAACCAATTTTCTTTATTATTATTAGTTGTGGCGGCACACTACTGGAAATTATGAAATTTTCGACAATTTGAAAGTAATCTTAAATCAAGTCGTAAGTAAAAGGTGATCGGAAATAGCAACAAAGGTTTTTTCGAATACCAAAAATGGTCGGAACAAGGCTTTCCATAGTTTCTAGCAGTGAGAAGCTTTGATTTGGTTAAGGAAATAAAGTTTCATTACACTCCAAACTATATATATATATATATATATATATATATATATATATATATATATATATACTAATAAGAGCCCAAGAGAGTTAAGCCTATAATAAAAAGATATTTGAAAAAATTAGCTATTTAGATTAACATGTAAAATGACCTAAGGGTATATATATATTTAATAATAATAATAATAATAATAATAATAATAATAATAATAATAATAATAATTGTTTAAAAAAAATAAAAAAAAATATAATTACGCTAATCATATTAACTACTTAGGTAATTTATTGACAAAAAGAGTATTCAAATCACACAACAAATTGAAGTGGGAAACTATCTCGCAATGTCCTTATTTGACAATCAGCAGTTGACTCTTTAATATTAGTATATATTTAATATTTTATGCCCTAATTTTTATTTGCTCTCCCTTATATCTGGTATTTGGTTTCAACCATACCAATACAATTATTTTATTGACAATTATAATCAATCTTGACTATATTATCTTGCATTTGTAAACTTAAAATTACCTATTTAAATATGCAAATTTAACCTTCAATTATCTATGCATGAATAATTTTAATATAATCTTACAAAAAAACATGGACATTATCTCAATCGCGCAATGCACTTAAAAAAACTAGTTTGTATAATAAATTTACATTATTTCAAAAGGCCATGACACCCGTACGTTGACAGCTGCTAATAACTGCGCAACCCTAATCCCACCGGAATTAGAATTACGTTTTACGGCTCTATAAGTTGGCGTTTAATTTCCTCTTTCTCATCACTCACAAACATCTTCTAATCTGCACTTTGATTTGTTATTAACGAACAGAGTGTAATGGAGAACCTGTCTTCTTCAACAACCATTATGGCGTCGGATCACTCTGTTTCCACCGTTCCTCTCAGTTTATCTCTACACCCATCTCCAAGATTTCACCTATACGCTCGTATCTCCATCAACACTTTCAAACCCATCCTTATCTGCCACAATATTTGAAGATTTCTTGCCATACAAGAAACGAAAAAGACAGGAAGTTGACGAACCCAAACCCAATAAGACAGAAGAATATTGTTCACATTCAACAATAACATATGACGAGGGAGTGGCCAAGAAACAGAGGGTGGAAACCCCTCCAACAGAACTACGTCAACAGTTCATCAAGGTTGTTGTTGGCTAAAGACGATGTGAAGAAATACGTTCTGCCATTGATGGATGAGGAGAGGTGCGCAACTTGTCAAAGCAGGGAAGGATTAAGAGTCAAAATCTGGGATTTGGACACCTTTTCTGAGCATGAGCTTAGCCTGAAGCAATGGAAGACTCGCAGCTTTCTGCTCACAAGCAACTGGTCTATGGAGTTTGTGAAGAGAAGGAATTTGCAGGAAGGTGACTGCATTGGGTTGCTATGGGACACTCAACATCTAAGGTTCTTCTTCCAGAAGTTCAATACCCAGTCTTAGATGTTATTGTGCAGTGATTAACTAAATGAAATTTTGGTAGGATTCTCTGTGCTTTAGGGCTTGTTGTACTGCTTTCACTAATAGTACTTTAGGATTCACTCTGACGTACAATGTAGTATTCCACTGCTTTCACTAATAGTACTGTAGGATTCACTCTGAGTACAATGTAGTATTCCACTATCGTTCTAACAGGGTCATCTTCTATTTTAGAGAATCATAATTATGCCGCTTAATCACAAGTTCTTTGGCATAATATTGATTTATCATTTACAAATAAATATAATGTTTGTATACTGATTTTATCATTTTCAAACATTATATTTATTTTGTATGAGATGCTATATTAGGGTTGGAAATAGGCAAGGATAGTATGTTTATGGATTTAATTATAAATTTTGAAAATTTAAGGGCTTAATTGACTTTTTAATAAAAGTTCTTAGGCTTATTTGACCCTTTTCCCTTTATCTACAAATCTAATAAGAGCTAATAATGTTAGCCCTTAACTGGAACAAAAAAATGTCGGTCATAGTGGTTTCTTAAAATGAATGGTTCATATTATTTTGATTTAAGTATTTTTTTTAATGATTTTCCTTATTTATCCTCTATTATATTATTTTCTTCCATTAAATAACCCTAAATTCCATTAGTATAAACTTTAGTAACGGAATATTCCGTTAACTATTTATTATTCTAAACATACTCATTAATTTTAGAGAAAATTTCAATTTTGATCATATGACTATAGAGGTCTTGTTAATTTCAGCCCTTGACTTTCAGAAGTGCCAATTTAGTACTTTGACTATGTAACTTTTGTCAATTTTGATCACTCCGGCCAAATTGCCGGCTAAATTTGGCCGAAAAATTTTAATTGGTCAAATAATGAGGGTATTTTAATCATTTTACTCCCATTCTTTCTTCTCCGACGAGTCCTTCCCTTTTCTACAGTTCCGGCGATTGTCTTTTCTCCATTTCCGGCAACATCCTCTGCTCATTGCCGTAAAAGTACCCAACAATACTCAAACCCTTATCACCATAGTACTCCTCTATCTAAAAAAAAAAAAAAAAGAAATACTAAATTTTTATCAAGAGCTAACCATTGAAGCCTAAACCTAAAATATCATTTTAAAAAATGAAAATTGAGAGTGGAAGAGAGGGACTAAATTAGTGACTTCGACGGCGTCGCCGGTGGGTGAGGGACGGTCGAGGAGAAAGCCGTTGACGACAGAAGATTTGTGCTTGAGGGCATGGAGGACAAGCTTGATGTAGGCGTTTTGGTGTTGTTTTCTCTCTGGTATAGTGCAGCCGCAACATCCTCCATCACTTTCATCCTCGCGACCTCGCCGGCGGCGGCGTAAAACAGATCCCAAGCAGCTTCCTCCATCATTTTCATTGCATTCGCCGGAAACGGGAGAGAAAGGGATGAACTTGCTTGGGAAGAAGAAAAGAGACGTGAAATGACCAAAATATCCTTATTATTTTAATTATTAAAATTTTCCGGCGAAATTTGGCCGGAGTGACCAAAATTGACAAAAATTGCATAGTTAAGGTACTAAATTGACATTTTTGAAAGTCAAGAGCTGAAATTAACAAGACCCATATAGTCATAGGACCAAAATTAAAATTTTCTCTTAATTTTATAAGAAAGGTCTTAGGTTCGAACCTCATCCCAATTAGAGTTAACATAATTGTTAAACATATATTATGAATATGTTAAAATAATTTATTAAAAAATATATAATATAAAATTTAACATAAACTTTGGTCAAATAATTAGCCCGACTAAATACATAGCATTCAAAGTTAAGCATCAAAGATTATAAATCTGGAACTTTAAAAATCATTTGATTTTCTTGATATTTTTTAAAAGAAATTTAGGTTAAGTTTATTATTATTATTATTAATATTATTATTATTAATATTATTTTTATTATTATTATTATTATTATTATTATTATTATTATTATTATTATTATTATTATTATTATTATTATTATTATTTTATTATTATTATTATTATTATTATTATTATTATTATTATTATTATTATTATTATTATTATTATTATTATTATTATTATTATTATTATTATTATTATTATTATTATTATTATTATTATTATTATTATTATTATCTTCTTCTTTTGATTATTTAAAACAAAACTTAATATTTCAATTATGCTTTTGCATAATTGGAATAATTTAGGTTATTATGGTATTAATATTTTTTGTATTTTTTTTATAATGGTACAATTGTACATTACTTTACAAATATTATACTATTATTTTTTTAAACAAAATTGTTTTTACATCATTGTCAGCCTTGTGCGGCCTAACTACAAAGTTGTTGATCGTAAATACAGTTACACATTATGGACTCTAAGCCGGTAGGACCATTTTTCAAATAATTGACAATGTTAACATCGTACTAGCTCCAATTGAACAAGTTTGAACATCAAAATTTTATCAATGCATGAAAACTTCTAAAGAAATTTGTAAGTTAATTTTTACTATATCATTATAACAATATCTATTGTAACCATATTATTTATTTATTTATTATCATTCTCTATTGACAGCAATTGTAGCAATTGTCATTTACAAACTCTCAGAATAATTTGTCACAACAAGGAATGAAAATTTTTAAAAAAAAATCATTGATTTCATTATTGTTGATGAAAAGTATGTACGACACTTTATTACTCTTATTAAATTAAAAAATAATAAAAATAAATTAGTAGCTACAACAAAAATTAATGCATATCCATTTAATATTTTAATTAATTTAAAATTTTATAAGAAAGGTCTTAGGTTCGAACCTCATCCCAATTAGAGTTAACATAATTGTTAAACATATATTATGAATATGTTAAAATAATTTATTAAAAAAATATATAATATAAAATTTAACATAAACTTTGGTCAAATAATTAGCCCGCCTAAATACATAGCATTCAAAGTTAAGCATCAAAGATTATAAATCTGGAACTTTAAAAATTATTTGATTTTCTTGATATTTTTAAAAGAAATTTAGGTTAAGTTTATTATTATTATTATTATTATTATTATTATTATTATTATTATTATTGTTATTGTTATTGTTATTGTTATTGTTATTGTTATTATTATTATTATTATTATTATTATTATTATTATTATTATTATTATTGTTATTATTATTATTATTATCTTCTTCTTTTGATTATTTAAAACAAAACTTAATATTTCAATTATGCTTTTGCATAATTGGAATAATTTAGGTTATTATGGTATTAATATTTTTTGTATTTTTTTTATAATGGTACAATTGTACATTACTTTACAAATATAATACTATTATTTTTTTAAACAAAATTGTTTTTACATCATTGTCAGCCTTGTGCGGCCTAACTACAAAGTTGTTGATCGTAAATACAATTACACATTATGGACTCTAAGACGGTAGGACCATTTTTCAAATAATTGACAATGTTAACATCCTACTAGCTCCAATTGAACAAGTTTGCACATCAGAATTTTATCAATGCATGAAAACTTCTAAAGAAATTTGTAAGTTAATTTTTACTATATCATTATAACAATATCTATTGTAACCATATTATTTATTTATTTATTTATTATCATTCTCTATTGACAGCAATTGTAGCAATTGTCATTTACAAACTCTCAAAATAATTTGTCTCAACAAGGAATGGAAATTAAAAAAAAAAATCATTGATTTCATTATTGTTGATGAAAAGTATGTACGACACTTTATTACTCTTATTAAATTAAAAAATAATAAAAATAAATTAGTAGCTACAACAAAAATTAATGCATATGCATTTAATTAATTTAAAATTAGATGTCTATAATGCTTTATTTTAAAAAAAATATTCATTATAAAAAAATTTAAAAGAAATATAATTTCATTAGTTATATTATCTTTATTTTCTATAATTCAAAGATTCCTTACCTTCAAATTTATTAATTTATTATATTTATTACATTGTCCATTGTATTCTTTCTACATTATTGTAACACCCCACTTTTCTAACTCTTAATCACAAATCTAAACCACAATTGTCATAAACTAAGCAGCAGAATTAGATAACTAGTGGGAATGTCACCGCCACAACCACCACTCCGTGGTGATTGCACAGGCTAGGGGGGGGGGGGGGGGGGGGGGAGGTGTAGAACTAGAAATAAAATAAATATCTAACATCCATACTAATTACTGAAAGTCATAAGGGGGAAAAAGTCACCCGAAAAGTCTACATCATCAATGTCAACAAAACATCACAAGTCTAACATCTGATGGATAACGACAAAAATAAGTCAATAAGAGTTTAGACATCTCAATCTAAAAGACTAGTCTAACTCGATCACTTCTCACTGCTGGGCCCACCTAACAGGGGTTTTACAAGAAACACATAAACAAATAGGAAAACACGCGTTAGCACGAAGCTAAGTATAACCACACTCAACCCTGTAAAGTACTATAGAATATACTTTGAAAACATTTGATTTCACTCGTATACAACAAACTCATCTCATAGACAGCTTAGTCATATCACATACTTTCTAGATGCTTGCAACCTATAATATCAACAGGCATGCTTCGATATATAAGACTTAACAACTTAGATACTTCAACATGTAAACTTCACAATAAACTTAACAAGCAACTCATGCTTACAAGTAGTATCATGCTAATAAACCATACAACAGGTATTCTCATGCTCTCAAATTCTGATCACATAAACTGGAGATACAAGGATTCAAATATAACTAAACTATCATGCTTGATAAACAATCTTAAATCGACATTCTCATTGTACAATCTCATACGATACTCTACTCAAGTGCAATCTTGTGCAATACTATAGTCATATGCAATCTTATGCAATATTAAACTCATATGCAATCACATGCAATACTATACTCATATGCAATCATGTGCAATACTATACTCGTATGCAATCTCGTGCAATACTATAAATATACTCCTACGCTCGTTGTAAA